CTAGAGATCTTGCTGCTATCGTTCGTGTCTTGTAAATAGCACTTGAACCACATCTTCAATGAAAAGGTTGTATGCATTTTAACGGTACGGCACTAGCCCGAATAGTGAGAGATTGCAGGTTTTGAATCCTGACTCTGACAATTGTTTTCTTTACATCATTGAAGAGCTATGTTTAATAAGAATATAAGCAAATAGTACAGCTCCGCATAGTAAACTATAGGAAAATTATTATACAAAGGTTAAATTTAATGCTCGAAAAAATTTCCTGAGGGCCTGCAAGTGCGTGCGTACATTTAGCTATGCGTATGCCGATTTGTGTTCCTGCAGTACGTGTTAACTATACATCAGCAGTACAGTACGGATACGATGAATAAACCTTGTAATTTTTATTGTGTTAAAAGAACTTGTTTGTAATGCTATTTTGATACATTTGTCAAAGAAATAAACATTTCTTAAAGCATTCGAGAGAGAGAATACAGTCACTGACATTTTGGTCAGTGCAGGCAGGTAAAAATCGTGCAACGATTTCCTAACTACGCTACATTTGGAGTAAATACATACACATTTAGAGTTGCAGGGATGATGTCATGATTGACTTATAAAACATCATATGTTCCCACATTCCAGGACAGTTATTATTTATAATGTGTACATGCATGTTATATTCATGATCAATGTATAGAAGTTGTCTTCCAACTCCAGACAGATATACATACTAACACACAAGCTCACGCACCCCCTTATACACAGAAGAGACGTATACACTCAAAAATAAAACTTCCTTTTAAGAATAACATTACTAACCTCTGGACCATAGGAATGAAGGGTGCAAGACTTAGATTAGAGTCTGCTCCATCAGTAGGTGATGGGTACAATCTTGATAGGAGGAGCAAGATGGGAAACACGCTTGGCTGAAGGTATCCTGCGTCCATGCCGGTTTGGGATCCAATGCAAGCAGTTAACTCTTCAAGCAGGAATCCATGGAGACTCGGAAAGCGAGTAAAGAACTCTCGTCCTGTCATGCTGCCACGTAAAGGAAAATAAGAACATATTAGGTAAGCCCTATCAAATTAGATAAATTAAAACTACAAAGCTCTAAATTTTTGAATGTATGCGTAAGGGGTATTATTAAGGAGTATAGAACTGCATGTCAAGGACACGCCCCTTCGTGGCTGTACTTTTTGAAAAAGGATTACGTCTAAACAAAACAACGAGAGTTGGACCGCTTGCAGTTGCACTTGCTGGTATTATGCATGAGTGTATATGATGATTACATGTCCGTTTTTTACTGTTGTATTTAAAAAATCTATTCTCACATTTTAACAGAGCTTATTAGATGGCCTTAATTTGATATACTTATATATATATACAAGTCTCTCTCCAATATAAGGCAACATTTGGCACCAGGCTTTTCATGGTCTTTTTGCAGTTTTGGACACAAAAAAAAATCATTATTATAAAGATAAAAGATAAGTGATCATACAGGGCTGCAGAAAATGGTTTTAATTTCAGGTGACCCTAATTGGAGTGGTATTTAATTAAAGGGAGATCTAAACTTTTCATACCAATTTTTGCGAGCTAATTCTTCTGTCTCTCTACGCACACCAAAAATGCGATTCACAAGAGCTGTAAACAACAAGGTGCTGGAATTACGAACCTGGAATAAAAAAAAAGGCAGTGTTGTTACAAATATAGCTACATAACCAAAGATAATAAATTTACAACTGTAAAAAAATATTACATATTATTAATATATTATTCTAAAACGCCAATCCTCAGCAGCTGCAGTAGACTCGATCAATGGAAAAATGAAGATGTCAAAAAGGCAACAATGGTTAAAGTGTCTGTGAAAAACTGTGTAAAATCAAGTGGGAGTGGACAGGCCATGTAGCTCAAATGGACCGTAACAGGTGGACTAAAAAGACAACAGTATGGATGCCATACAGAAACAAAAAAAAAAAAAAAAAAAAGAGAAGAAGCCAAACAAGAGATGGATCTTTTCCTGACAGAGCTTGGAGTAAACTAGGCAAATCTGGCAAAGGATAGACGAGAATGGAGTTTGAGGCAATGGCCAAATAAAGATGATGAAAACGCCAATATCCATGGCAAATACAATGTTCAGTGGAAATGATATTAGCATTAATAAAGTGCTCATATACTCACTATCCATAATCGTGATTTGAAACCCAATATTGCAGCTCTCATTCCATCAGCAATGAACGAATACACATCCTCCCCAAGCCTTGTGTCTCTAAACAATGCACACATAATGTTCAATGCATGTACCTACAAATAAGAGTACGTTTAAATGTAAAATAAATAAGTCTGCAATATAATTAATTCACCTACAAATTTGGCATAATTTAAAATGACTAAAAAAAGTTGAATTGAAAAAAAAAAAAAAAAAAAAAAATTATTAATTAAAAAGTTTCATTCAGTGCTACTGCAGAACAATACCATGCACACTCAAAAAGAAATAGAAGTCATGTTTATTCTTTATTTTTTTTGTTTTTAAAATTCTAACATCCATCATCAAGAGTTGGTAAAAAAAAAATTCAGCATTTTGTTCCAGGTACATATAAAGCTTTAGCAAGTCAGATATGAATTAGATACCTCTCCTTTATACTATATTGGAAGGGGATGGGTAGGGGTCATCAGAACATTGTAGACATAACATTATTACTATACATACTTGTGGGGTAATTTCTTTACCATTCTGCTCTGCTGGGAATACTAGTGGTAGCAGTATAGCCATAGCTTCCTGTAGACTTTGCCTTCGTAATGAGCTGGGTTCAGACGTGACCAGGGCCTACCAATAAAAGAACACATTTTAATTAAATTATTAAATTTGTAAGAGAACCCTAATTAATGAAAACTTTTATATAATTTGATTAACAATATAATTGTGATTTCAAAATAATTTTAAAACTAAATAATTACAAATTTACTAAGACACAAAAAGGGTATGAAAAAGAAATTAAAACTTGGGAATGGTTATTGAGATCAAGATTATTGAATATTTTAAACTTGGGAGGAAAAGCGGAAAAAAGGGTCTTTGTATGTGTGTAAAATATACTAAATTGTTTCCTATTAAAATCTATATTCATTTTTTGTTATATACCTGGATAGTGAATGGCACACCAGCACTGCGTCTTGTGGCACAAAGTAAGTCTCCGCCAGCACAGATGTCATTCAGCAAATCTTTCAACCATTTCTTCGGTAAAGACTGTAATGGAGCAACACTACTCCTATTGAAAAAAAAATAATCAAAATAACAATACAAAACATCAAAAATAAAACAAAGATGACTATTATTATTTTATTATTTTTATTATTATAACTAATTAAAGGTATTGAGAAGTCATAATTTGTTTTGAAGAAACATGTATTGCCACCTTAAAAAATCAAATATATGCCCCTTAAATTACACATCAAGTTAGTTCAAAATGCTGTTTACATTGCAGGGTTTAAAAAATATATTTAAAAGCTGAAAGATTTTTTGTAGATGTTTTTTAGTACCTGTAAGTGTTGTTGGTGATTTTAATATCTTTATCAACACTTACCTCCACAGAACAACACAAAGTTGGTTGAAGCCAACTGACGCAAGTTCAAATGCTCCTCTGTGTTTTGACTCCAACAAAAGTTTAATGAAAAACTCCCCCATTTCATTCACCTGTTAATAAAAGAGGTTCAATCTAAGAACTTATTTCACACATGCATAAATTATTGAAATGCAAGCCAATAAAAAAATATCACAACAGTTTTTAGTGAGTATGTTTGAATTCAAATGAGACCAAGAGCTGCACATCAGTCAGTCACAAGATGCATGGATGGATAAAATATTTAAATGTGAGCCACTATAAATATTAGTGAAGTGAAATGTAATAATATTATTCTTATATCAATCTTGAAACTATCCTTTCTTGAAAAAAAACCACTTATTTAATCCCCATACTTGTTGTTGACTCAAAAGTGTCTGGCTTTTTTCGTGCTGTTGCGATATCTTGCCTAACGTCAGCGACACCTCTTTCATGCTACGCCAGCAACAGACCAATAGTGCTTGCGGAGTCACATTTAACACCTTTGACCCACAGGTCGGTTCAACTGCTGCAACATCATCAATCTGTGGAACATCTGAAGAGAAGCCAAGCCAATCTTGAAATGAATATTTGTACAGTATTAAACTTTTTTTAGTCAATAAAAAAAAGGCTGGTAGAAATTTATGGTGTTCCTGATATAACTAAGCATTAAAAAATATATATATGATTAACTACTAAAAAGACATTGACAAATTATGTAAAAAGAATGAATGATTGAAATATTGTTTTTACTTTTTGCATCTGTAACCACGAGTAGCATATCCAGGCGTCTTGAAATTGGGGGGGGGGGACAGAGGAGAAGCTTGATGAGTAAGAGAATTTATTATTTATTTATTTATTTATCTTATTTATTTTTTTCTTTTAACCAACTGTGATGCTAAGCGAAGAATTATTCACATCTTGATTATAATTATCAGATGCTACTTTCAGGAATTCTATTTTGCATACATGTGGAAGCTAAAATATCTCAAACCTGAACCATCTCCCTCCTGATTGGCTGGATGATATCCCTCTGGTGATGAATTGCACACTACAGGAGAAACAACCTCAGCCACTTGGTAACACATCAACAACAATTTATCAATAAGCTGCTTGTACTTGGCAGTCACTGATACAGTAAGCTCACTACAAAAAAGATAAAATTTTATCTGAAGCAAAAGAGAAATACTTATAGAAGGCAGTGTATTGTAATCTCAATAACTGACATACAATGGACTTGAAATGAAATTTAGCGTCTATCAAATATCAGACCATTCAATAGGCAGGGCCATGAATAATAATAATAGTAATGTGAAGCGCTTAGAGGCTTTGTAAAGGCATGAAGCGCTATATAAGAACGACATATTATTATTATTATAATCACGTGTCCCACACACAAAGCTTATGACTGTACGATTTTAATTTCATATTTATTGTCGTTGCTCATAGAATATAGAAACTTGTTTTATGGCTTACACTTTGTGGGACCTTTGTACAGCAGTAGTCCCTACTAGCATGAAAGAAAAAGCCCAGATCTCTTTGGTGTGATCAATGTTTTAAGGAAGTATTTTGATATTTACCTACACATTAGTGCCCCTTAAAAAGGTCCAGCTTGGCCAAGGTATGAGCCAAAAAGCCTAAAAAAATCACTGGCCCTTTAAGGTCTAGGGCCCAGGTTTTAGCCAGTGATACCTCACAGTGATACCTCATTATTATGCCACTCCCTAGAAACAATATCCAAGGGGCGTGGCTTAGTAGATTGGTCCATTTTAAGTGTTACTTACTGAAAATTCACGTCTTCTATTAGCTCTCGTACACAATGCAGAACACCGTACATTGGTCTTGTCCCTGCCGCTTCTATCAAGCTTCTGTTCGCAACCTCCACTTGCTCTGATAAGGAATCAAGCATATCTCCCACAATGCCTTGTAGATTGTCATGGTAACTGGATGTGACATGCCTAAATACTGTCTCTTATACACATCTAGATGTGTATAAGATTACCACATCCAACAACCACACTAAGAACAACAATATACAATAGCCTCTCCAGATATTTGCTCATTAGTAAAGACTACTTCTTCATTTGTTTTTACAAGTAAACGTACATTAATTACCTGCATTCCAAGCTGTTCTTGAGTAAGTGGAACCAAGAGGTTAAAGGCCATGACCTTATTACTTTCATAAGGGTCAGTAAAACATCTTAGAAGAAGTTTAACATTTTTGGGACAGAATATTGTACTGTCATCATACCAACTACATCCTGAAGAGAAATGTAAGTGAAGTTAGTTAAAACAAAATCAGGCATTCTCAATTAGAAATAATGATGACAAGGATATAGGGTTGTAAGAATGAAATATATAATGGCTAATGTTGTACAAAAATGTGTCCTGCGTATCAAAATATAATCAGGCTAATAATGAGAGGGTAGGTATGTGGGTCTATATGTCTGTTGATAAGTTTTGTCTTACTTGTGTCTGAATCTGTCTGTGTGTCTGTTAAGTAAATGCTACAAAGTAAATCACAGGTCTCCTCCAACTAAAAAAACTCAAAATAAAAACACCTCCAATTAAAGACCACCTCTAAATGTCTTATCTTTATTATTCTAATTAGAGACAAAGGCTGCTAAGACAATGGAAACCCCATAACAAAGGCGGTCTTCAATTGGAGGGATCTTGCACATGATCTATAAATAAAGAGAAACACATATACCTACCAGACTGAAATTTGCACAAAATTGACAGAGCAGAGAGTGATGAAACCCTGGTTGAGTAACAGGAACCAGACTGTAATCCAGAAAACAGCAGCTCAACAAACCAATCCAGAAAGCCCTGCAATACAAAGCATTAACATTGATTTTGAAATTGCTCAATCAAGTTTACACTCTCTAACAAAAAGCAGTAGATGGGGGTACAGGTCCATAACAGAACTGGTGAAAGGGGTTTCTGAGAGCTAGATGGCTTGTGGCAAGTAGGTGCTTTGATGGGGTTCAAAAGAAGAACTTTTGTAGAGTTAAAGGGCAAAGCCACCTCGATTTGAAACATTCCAGCATGTAAATGGTAAATCCTATCATCTTTTGATGATTTTTGAATGCAAAACGAGAGGTGTTATGATCTATCAGAGAAGGGGGGGGGGAGGTTTCTAAAAAAGTAGGGGTTCAGTCAAATAAAAAACAACGAAAGATGGAGAACTGTTCACATTTTTAAATAGGCACTTGGGTATACTCAGAATAAATAAATAAATCAAATCTATGAAACCTGTCTAGACTATCAAATTTTATTTGAAAAAAACATGTGACATGCCTAAATATGGTCATGATGACATCACACCATGACCATATATGGGCACCTCATGACTATATATGGGCATACAACAATTTTTGTTAAATAAAATTGAGAATCTGGACAGAGCATAAGGACAACACAAGAATAAAGACATTGACATTTTATTTTGCTAATGCATTCACCTTATATGCATGTATCCTGTTAGCTGCCTCTGATTGGCTGTGGCAGTTTGTTGTCTTAAAGTTCTTGTAATGGAGTCTGCCGCTGTCTTGTAGCCTTATTAGAAGCTGAAAAAAAAAAATGTCACATGAATTTGTGAACAGATAGAGCCCCAAAATTTAAATAAAACGACTTGCACAAGGACACAGGTCAGACACAAGTGACCCGTTTCTGACATTACCCACCAATCTTTCAATTGGAAGCCCAATGCCCTAGCTTCAGCCCTCATAGCGTTGCCACTGTGCAAGTCTAAAGCTTTGTCTACACTACCAAATTTCATCAAAAAAGCATCACGTAAAATGTGATGGAACATAAGAGTTGAACACGTTCAACTTTTTTTGATACAATTTGATAATATGTGATTAGACGTCATCACACCCATATATGGGCACATCACATTTTTTTTTACACATAAAATTTGATAGTGTAGACAAAGCTCCAAGCCCTGTACAGACTATCACATCTTACTTGACAAACATATGTGACATGCCTAAATATGGTCATGATGACATCCCATCATGACCATATATAGGCACGTCATGTCTATATATGGGCATACAACAGTTTTTTGTCAAAGAAAACTTAATAATCTGGACAGAGCTTAACACAGTCCAACATTTTTTCTCAAAGTAAAATTATTCCCTCAGTCACAGGAGAAAAAACAAAAGCATCATAACTCATTACATCAAGAAAATTCATTCAAGGTGATGTTGGGAAGTTCAGGACTGTAGGACAGATACTTAAATGAATGGATTTATACACAAAATTTTTTTTATGGCACTTCCCTTGAAATTAATTGAATAGTCCATTGCAGTGGGCCATATTTTAAGCAATTTTCACCATGGTAAGCATTCACAAAACAGACCGTCAAGTTAAATGTTATTTATCAATACTACAAACATAAATTCAACAGTAATGTTTATCCTGGTATTACCTTTTTTATTAACATCATCAACTGCTGCCTAAAGGATGGTAAGTGGCTGCTCAGGTTGTATGGTAGAAAGAATTTAATCAGATCAAAATCCCAATCAGTCAAGACTTCTGCAGTTTTCTTTGTATCGCAAATCAAAGCAAACGTATCTAGACAAACCTAAACAAATTATATTATTTTCATTTCTTGTTAAATAAATGTTAAGATGATGCAGACAGGCTGCTATCAGAGTATAACGTATGCTATTAAAAATTGCATTACACTATTGAAGTGGAGATGAAGTTTGGTGGTAAAGATGCTTGCCTTCCAACCCCAGGGTCTTGAGTTCAAATCCTGTGACAAAATATCAGCTAAGATATGTTGGAAGGATCACCCTCTAAAAAAATGGTCTTAAAAATTGTTAATTTTGAATGTGGATAAACAATATGGAATAACAAATAACCTGATTGTTCTTGTGACACAAAGCTTGTCTGATCGTTGTTCTTCCAACAAGTCCATGCCACATCTCTTCACCTTGTTCATCATCTTCAAACTCAGTAATGGTAATGTTTGAGGCCCTAGCTGTCTTTAAACACGTCATGAGCATGCAGAGCCGCATACCCTTATAATCCAGGGACTTTGAGGCCTGAGCATCCATGGGCCAGCTGCCCTGCATATCCAGGGGCTTTGAGGATTGAGCATTTATGTGCTTTGAGCCCTGAGTATCAAGAGGTCTAATGCCCTGAACATTTTCGGGTCTCTTTTTCTCAGCATTCAGAAGATCGGTCTCTCTTACATCCAGGGGCATCATGCCTTGGGTATCCAGGGGTGATATGATTTGGGGAACCATAGACTTTGATAACTTAACATCCGGGGACTTTATGCCCTGGACATCCAGGTGTTCCCACTTACTACTCTGCAGTGTTTCAATAATGTACTGGACACTTGAAGGATTACATTTCATAAGTTTTGGAAGTGTCACCTGAAAATAAAATAAAATCAATAAAGGTCTGCTTATGTATCATAAACTTAGAAAGAATCATACCTCACCAATTGGGAGTTTATCATCCATAAGTTCATTTACTAATGATTGCAGGCCATGGTTATTTAGAGTGCACAACCTTTGGCCAGCCTGAAGGAAGTTAAACATCTCTACAATTTATACCAATTTATAAATTATTATATAATTTTAAAGAAAATATTTAAGGTCCCTTAAACAATTTCAGTCTATGGAAGGCAGAATTAATGAACTCACCTGCATGATGTATGATTTATGTTGAATTGGTGGACAGGTGTGCAGTGCATGCAGGAGACTGTCAATCCAGGTGAAATGCCAATCATCACTGCTGCTGTCAGTCATTTGTTTTAAGTGGTCCTTAGCCATCACATCAACAAGATTGCCCACCTGATGTCAACATGCATAAAATATATAAATAACACATGTATAATATTTTTTATAGTAATATATACAATGAGCTTTATGGTATAGCTTAAAGATTTGTGGTGAAGAAAAGTCGACAAAGCCCTAATAAATTAAAATAAACAAAAACATTTAACTGCTCATTCAATATCAAATTATCATATTGAAATAAATACTCATTTAGTATGTAGTTAAAACTTTCAGTGAGACATGTATTAAAATAATTTTTTTGCAAATAAATTTAGATTTTAAAAAATCTATAAATTGATTGTCAGTCAAGTGTTTTAGCTCACAAGGGTTCCCATTCTCCTGTAACTCATGAGTTTCCTGGAAATCAGAAGTCCAATGCCTTACACGCTGCGCCACAAGCCTCCACAAAGTTACCACCCCAGGCAGCAGAAGAAGAGGCAGATAGAGGAAAAAGTGGCAGAAAACATAACTGAATGAACTGGAAATCCTTCACGGAGAATCAGATGGTGGCCCGTGACCGAGAATCATGAAAGGAGCTGGTCAGATGCTCATGTGTGCAGCAACCCTACGACCACACCCGGTCATGAGACCAGTAGGCAGCAAGCTAATGGAAGTCAGCATCAATGGGTATCACTATGTGCCGCAAATTAAACTAGAAGCGTTAAGAAAGCTTGTTTAACCAGATCTCATGGAAATGACTTCCAACTTAGGACCCTTGAGCTCAAATGACACAGTTTAAAAATTCTATCGCTAAAAATATAATACAATTGAAGCATTCTGTAGAGAAGTTGCATTAACCCAGGACTCTGAGATTAGAAGGTAAACACCTTAACCTCTAAACCACTGTATGCTGACTTACACAAGGTGAAAGATTTTGATCCATAATGCAGATGTAAAGTTCAGTTGGTAATGTTGGATTCCGTTTTAAAATTAACTCTGCACCGATGTTCTCTACAATACAGGCAAGGAATGAGTATTTCCCACGGACATGGTGGTCACTTGAAAGGATCTTTTGTAAGACATCGCAAATGAAGGCATCATTGTTGCAGACTGCATTCCCACCTGAAATTGAATTCATTTTTTTAGATTGATTTCATCCAACAGTTAGTATTCTCTGTCAAGTACAGTGTAATATTGAATAATAATAATCATCATCATCACCACATCACAATCAAAGCACCAACATAATCACCTTAATCCCAACTACCATCACTGTCAACACCACCACCATCAAAATCACCATCTTCATAATCACCAACACCATTATCATCATCAAAATCACCATCATCATCACCAACACAACCACCATTCTCATAATCACCAACACCATAATAGAAATCATTATCACCACCACATTCATCAAAAATCACTCTCACTAACACTATCTTAATCATAGCCACCATCATCAAAATCATCTTCGTAACTACCATCATCATAATCACCAACACAACCATTAAAATCCCCATCCTCATCATAATCACCATAATTATTAATTATCATAATCATAGTTTACAATGTTGTTAGCATCATAATGTGATTCTGTAGTCTTCATGAAATGGATTTATCACTTACTATATCCAGCTGACTTTCGGTGAAGTTTTATAATGTTTCCAAAAATACTATTCACTTGATGCCTCATGCACTGTAAAAAAAATATATATAAACACAACTGAAAAGCTAGAGATTAACAAAGTACTGTAGTAACAAGATCAGAGATAGGAATCACAAATAAGGAGTACATGCAGAAGGGGTCAGTAGGGGATCCAGGAATTTGAAATAGAAGGGGCCCAGGAAAAGACTTTCACAGACTTTTCTCAGGCCCAACATAGTTGAAGCTAAGGTAAGAAAATTTATGATTATGGCACTTTTGATGGCTGAAAATGAGACTCATAGAGTTCAATTTAAATTAATTTTCTTTCCCCAATTTAAAAAAAATAATTTTTTAGGAGCCCCAGGTCGACTGCCCCACACCCTTGAATCTCCTGGAGGAGGGGAGAAGAGGACTTAGTACTGTATATAAAAAGTGAAAAAGAAAATCTTACGTCTATAGGATGATCCCAGTTTGTCCATGAATATTCTAACAATTTTTGTGGGATATCCTGGTAACCAGTGAATGCTTTCAATGCGTTGAGATCGTCAACTTCAGTTTCCACATACGATATTGCACAAGTTGTCCATAATGCAAGTGCTCGGGCAACAGAGAGAGCAGAGAACGATTCCATTAATCTGAGGTTGATAAAAATCACTTCAAAAATCCGATATCCAAATGTATCTGATTTTTTCCTCCGCCAAGGAGGTTAAATTTATTCCCCTGTCTATCTGCTGTCTCTCTGCCAGCAAGATTACGTAAAAAATAAGGAAAGGTTCATCATTAAATTTAGTGCAACGCTGCATAATATATAATTATATGAATAAATTTATTATTAGAGGTAAACTCACACACTCACTAGACACCAGATCTGTTGAAACATCATTTCCAAAAGAGAATCATCACCCACAAGATGCCTTGTCAACTGATCTTTCGGTACAGTTGCCAATACACCTTGGCAGACAAACAGCTTGGACAGTGGCGGAAGGTAGTGAAACTCAATAATGACTGTTGACTTTTGTGTCTCGATACAAAGCTCATCAGCGATTTCTTTTGCGGGCAGCTTTTGATCAGCCAGTAGTAGCATGATTTGAATAAGTATCATACCGGCTGCATTTTGACAATCGGCAAAAAATAGACCTGAAAAAAGAACATCTTATAACTCATAAAATAACATACATCTTGAGAAAAGATATCAAAGGGTAGGTGGTGGACAATTTAAAAGTAGGTGGTTGATAATGTTGGTAAATTCTAAACAATATGAGTGTATTTTAAAGACGGGCATGTGGTTAAAGATGGTGGGTGAACGGCCATGAAATTGGCTTTACATAGGGTGGAAAACTTCAGGGCTGGATGGCCCTGACTAACTCCCTCCAGTATAGCTACATCCCTGCAAATTGAAAAATCTGTTACTGAACTTCAAATCATAAGACTGGAGGTTCAAATTCACTTTTATCAACTCATTTTAATTTGGATGCCTCTATTTCCTTATGGACGTATCAAAATTTATCTATAATGCTGCCATATGCTAAACTATTGATGTTTTTTTTTAAATTTTTTATTTTGGGCGTATACACAGCGTATTCATAACGAGTTACACGTATACATAACATATAAGAAACTTATACAGATGCCATTATACAGTAGCCATAAATTAGAAACACATTCAGTAAGTTGGTCGTCCGGAACACGTCAAATACATCTACATACCTCATTATACATTGGAGGCAAGTTCCATATAAATTCACATAGGTTCGAAGCATGTTACTAATAGGTTAAAGAAATGTTTTGGGTACACCTTATCTCGACATATTTCAACTTATGAATTATGAGCAACATGTGTCAACGATTACATAACTTACCTTCAACTTATGGCCCGCATATGTGGGACGTACGTGCATATATCCTGGCATACGTTGAACAAATGTTGTGCATGCATAAAATGTTTTGCCGACGTAACCTTACTACGATGCATACCAATGTGCTTCAGCATGCTCTTAACTTACCCATAACAAAACTCATCTAAAAATTTACCTAGGTCATGTTGTACTTCCCACTTCTTATAATGAAGCATAGTTATGTGAACCATTGTATTACTGTACCAACTTAAAATAGGCACACGTTTGGTGTATGATGACAGCAAAATAATGAAATATATTAAATAGGTTAATTACCATCTTTTAAAATATGACAGGCATCATTTCTTATGTTTTGGATGCGGCTCCTCATCTTGCTGTCAATGTTGGTTACTTCATCACGTAACTCTGAATAACATTTACGGACTAAAACTCTTGTGGTCTTCACTATTGCTAGGCAATTATTTCAATGTCTTTTTAACTAAATGAGCCTGAGGTTCGTACAAGTGGTCTGGCGAGCAGAGTGGCTGCATAGTGAGGCAGGTGTACCACTATCTACAACCTTAACATTGAGCATTGGCTGGTTAAAACCGCTCTTCAGGGTTCTGTTGATAAAACCAAGTCTTGGATACGGATTCCAAATGGGATGTCTAGCATACACATCTGGCTCATGTACACTAGATTCCACTGTATCTTATAAAAGAGAAGTAAGGGGTTGCCCCAATGCAACATGGTTGGGGCTGAGGTAATAAATTGTATGTCTATTACACTCTAGTCTATATAGTTGGTTATGGCACTCTCAGGTTGAAATTTAAATGCAATTTTCTTTTTTCCAAATTGTTTTTTAATTCTCAAAAATTGAATCTGCCAATGTGATAGAGAATCACTGTACCTTCTTTAAGAGAGAGACTTGTTGCAACTCATTCTCCTCTTGCAAGAACTCTTTGAAAGATTGCCAGTTGATACATGATAATGGAGAATCTTCATTCATAACTAGAACAAACAAAAAAGTATGATTCCATTCTAGCCTGGGCATTGCAAAATAATCAATTAATGAAAAATAAATGGCAAAGTAAGTTACTTAAGACCTTAGCAACCAATTTATGGTGTACTGTAGTCTTAGCCATTGATACAATACAGTACATTCCTATTCTACGCTTTCCGTAAAGTTCAGTGGATGTAATATTTCTATTCAGCAACCCCCTTTTCAAAATCCTGGATACGCCACTGCATTAACCACGTTCTTTGCCATTTAACATCCAGGTATTTAGGACGGATGAAGATCTGTTTGCCCCTGTAACATTCCATTTTGGGCTGTTTCGCTCAGTATTAAGAAAATCATTTTACTTAGTGAACCTTGTACTTTGAGAAAATCATTTTGCTTAGTGAAACATATACTTTGAGATAATCATTTTTTTTAGTAAAACCTATACTTTCATAGATATATTTTTAAAAATTTCTTCAATCTTGATTTATAAATAAATAAAAACTCTCCCCTAGATGCAAAAAATATAACTCCACTAAATAATACACATACATTCACTAGTTTTAGCATAATCCAGCTAACATACCAACGGCAGTGAATATGTAACATCCTTGATGGAGGTAATTAATTGACTGCTTTTGGAAAAAGGCTAATGCATTTAACAAAGTATTAGGGTTTAACAGGTTATCCTGTTTACTGAATCCTGATTCCACATCTGGTTGTTTATCGTAGATGTGTACACATTAATTATATATATTAACAATAATTATTTATTCTTTTGATAGTGCAGGCACTTTGTGTACTGATTTTCACAGTGAAGCAGTTAAAAATCAATCCCGGAACATTGAAAATTAATATGCGTTGTATGGGGCAATGGCGCAATGCCTATGCGCTCTCGTTAGGCGGTCCGCAAGGCCCCGACCGCAAGGGGTCTAACCAATATGCTCCTTGATCTATCACCCCAACCAAAGTGGGTTTTGTTGATACATAACAGCATAATGAGTCTCTGACATCGACTGTAGGACATATAATGTATCATATTATATCCAGTGTGAAAGATTAAAGGGTATCCTGTCCACCTGGGGCCCACTAAATTTGTTTACCTTGCTTTAAGTTTAATTAGTTTTACTTTACTGTACCTTGTAACTGGACCATTTTGAAAAGGCGTACTACTGTACAGTATGCTACTGAAAATGCAATCCAGTAAAACAAAAGAATAAATAAATTTCTACAGTTCAGCGCACATACATTGGCTATTACCAGTTTAGCGACTGAGCTAATCTGCTCTCATCAAAGTAACATGAATTTTCATTTTGGACTAATTATAATAATTACAATATTTTGATGCGATAAATTTAATAGGAAAGCTTCAGCAATATACCATGTCCCCCTCCCCAATGAGTCGCATTACAAACAACAGATACAGATTGTCTTTATCTGCTCCCTGAAATCGCTATACGCAGCCAACACCCGCACATTCTCACCAGAGGGCATTCCGGAAACATTGCGTCAAGAAAAATTAAAATCTTCTTTTAAATTTCTTTCAACACTTATTAACACATTTATTAACAATACAAAATAAGGCTTACTTGGCATTAAAATGATATTTCTTATATTAAACATGTATTCTTCTCCATGGCAATATTTCTTTGAAATTTAATAACATGAGATCTAAGCAACTTTAAAAAGAATAGGAAATCTACTCCCAACTGAAGTTAATTTTTGTTTCATTTGAAAAGTTTGTTCAAATTTTTAGATGCACAATACAATGCAGGTTTACAATTAAATCATGATGAGTTTGGCTGCATTAACATTTTGAACGGATTGTGGTTAAAAATAAATTTGGATAGGCCTACGTAGTTTTATACATTTAAAAGTCATAAGAATTGTTCATTCCACCTCTAACATTAAGACTTCTGCAGTCAAGGAAACTTAAGATAAAGTCAAAGTAAAATCCTCCAAGGTAGGCCCTAACCTTTTCATATGGACTTGAAGAATAGTGTTTTGAATACTAGATTAGACACAGAAACAATAGTAAAAAAAGAACGATTACTAAGCATTAGCTAACATTTGAGACTGGGGTTTCCATGGTCTTTAGATGAGACTTTTCTTAGGGCCCGATCGGCTAGAAATGGACCCAATTTTCCTACTAAATACCACACAGATCATGGGACGACAGGCCACCACACAGAACCACACGGATGCAAAAACATGGGCGGATCCGGAATTTTTCAAACCTGGGAGAACAACGTTAGGTTCAGAATAGATAAGTAAGTAGCACGTAGCATTAATATGCATTGAAATTTTTAAAATCTAGTGGCAAAACAGCGGGCTGTGCCCCTACTGGATCCGCACCTAAAAAATTATAAAAATATTACCACATGAGAGTAGAACTGCTTAGTAATTAATAGAAACCAAATTTTAGAACAATAATATTGTCCAAATTCCGTTAAAAATCGATGTTTGTTGTTTTTGTTTGGTTGGCCGTTTTATCTGTCGTGTCTTGGCAAGTAATGTGTTGACATTGACGTGTCAGCAGAAACGCATTTAACCATGACTTTCATGTCTTCATTTCATAGCATCACTCAAGATAATACTGTATATGTACTACCACACGAACAGAGATGAACTTATTCTACATTAAAACAAAATGAGTATTTATATTGCATTATATTTGTATTAATGTATTGTTAATATATGGGATATGACCGGTTTAGCCGCCGACATGTTGAGCCGCCGGTAATTTCTATGGAACGCCAAGCGCGTCTTTCAGTGAATGTAGTGCGTCTCTCAGTGAATGTAGTCGGCTTGCCGATGCCATCAGCTAAATATTCATCCCACAGTCTTGTCAGTCGTTGACTTGCTCATATTGCCGTTCGTGATGTATAATTGTGTAATTGAATATTAGAATTTTGATTATTTTATGTACTAAATTTTTATAAAAATATATGAAGTTGTATAATTGCAAAATCGTATTAAAAATGTAATTTTATGTTTACATTTTTATAAAAATAAATGAAGTTGTATAATTGCAAAATCATATTAAAAAATGTGTCTATTTACGTTTGGTTTGCGGCATATTTCAATTAACTTATTCGTTATTTGTACTATTTTGTTAAATTATTTAATTTATATATTTATTATATATAAGTTTAACAAATAGTACAAAAATAAAAATATATAAATTATAAAACCATAATAAATACTGTATAACAACGTAGGCCTAACACATTTACTTTTATTATTTATAGTCATGCAAAATCATGTTAAAAATGTAATAACTTGATTATTTTTTACGTTTGGTTTGCGGCGTATTTCAATTAACTTATTCGTTATTTGTACTATTTTGTTAAATTATTTAATTAAATTATTTATTATATATAAGTTTAACAAATAGTACAAAAATAAAAAGTATATAAATTACAAAACCATAGTAAATACTGTGGCCTAACACATTTAAATTTATTATTTATTATTCATGCAAAATCGGATTAAAAATGTAATAACTTGATTATTTTTTACGTTTGGTTTGCGGCGTATTTCAATTAACTTATTCGTTATTTGTACTATTTTGTTAAATTATTTAATTAAATTATATTTATTATATATGATTATATGACTCCATACATTATAAGAATGTACTGTATGGAGTTTTTTTTTTACTATCTGGCAAGCTGACTGAGCAAACACTCACAAAATTTAAATTAAAACGATAGAAAGCACAAGTAAATAAATTGAAATACGTCCCAAAAATATTTAATAAATCAGTGCAAAAACCGAGTATTAAATAAATTGGAAATAATTGAGTAAATAAACTGAAATACATCCCAAACAACAGTACCAAGAAAGAATGAGTTGAAATACGCCGTAATCAACGCACTACATTCACTGAGAGACGCGCTTGACGTTCCATAGAAATGACCGGCGGCTCAACCGGTCATAATCCTACCATATGAGTTTCCTGTGTTAAAAACACGATTTACTATACTATACTTCTTTATAAAACATAACTTGTACTTTATAATAAGAGAAATGTGTATATTATCGGTACCTGGAACAGTAACAACACGAAAGTGCTATGCTACCGATTCGTGAAAAAGGCCTATTAGTATTGGCTTGTCGACTAGTTGATTTCCGACTTGAAGTACGCCCGCTATAAACTCAGTAAAGAGAAAGAGAAAACAAAAGTACAGTATCTTGTGGAGAACAGATAAACAGACAAACCTACCGTGCGCGGTGCAGTACTGGGTAATAAACATAGAGGTATAATAACATATACAAGCGTTAGTTGGCGTCCTACACTAGCTGCGTAGAGCGTATCGTTTTTTTACGCTCTCAATGAGCGTTGTTGGCTCTCTTGTTCTATTTATACTCTTTGGTACCATCCATAGAGATATAATAAGAATACTAGACCGCTAACAGCAATGTATTCGATGTTCGAAATACGCAGAGCTGTGTGTGTACCATCCAAGATGGCTGCCATAGATTCTTTTAAATATTTGAATAAGATGCTCTACTTGGCCTCTTTTTGGCTACGGCAGTTTAATAATTTGTCATTATCAATACTAATTATCATTAATGAAATAATATTCAGTCAGAGGGCTTATTTATGGTAATAATATGTATACTAAGCCTGAAGGTGGCGCCTTCCTACGGCAGCCATCTTGGATGGTACACATACACAACTCTGCATTGCTCCGCCATCTTGTCAGCACTCTAGTTGTTTAATAGCTCTATGAGTTGTTTAATAGCTCAATGGTACCATCCAAGATGGAAGTCGTAGTAAAGCGCCACCTTCAGGCTTAGTATACATATTATTACATATTAATAAGCCCTCTGACTGACTATTATTTCATTAATGATAATGAGTAATGGTAATAACAAGTTATTAAACTATTGTAGCCAAAACGAGGCCAAGTGTAGCATCTTATTCAAAAATAAAGTAACAAGGAATGAAAATTAAAATCGTATACATTACACCCAAACACCGCAACGCTCGAGTTTCA